TTGGACTTCCCAGGTGGTGGTAATGATAAAGAATCTGTCTGCCAATTCAGAGACACATGAGTTGCGGGTTTGATCTCTAGCTAGGAAAGATCCCCTGGAGTAGAAAATGACAACCCGCTCCAGTATTTTTGCCTGGAAAATTCCATGGACAGGAGCCTGGTGGCTACAGTCCATGGGGTCACAAAGAGTCAGACATGACTGATTGACTGACTGACTGATGTCCAATGCCCATAAATTTACAAAGACCTAAAACTTTTAAGATGATTCATGATGATGTCTGATGTAATCCTTGTCATGCAAACTTACAAGAGAAATTGAATAAGACTTAAGATATGTGGGAAAGTCAATAAAGGTTAATAATTCTAATTTACAAAAAGTAAAAGTTACTATTTTGCAATTTTTCTGAAAACAGTAGGTCAAAATAAAAATATAAAGTGACTGCTGGTCACAGATATAAAGACTTAAAGTATTCATTAATTTAGAGCTGGTACTATTCTTGTTATCCTAATAATAATGATGATGGTAATGATAATAGATATAAATTTAATTCATTCTGAAAGAAATGCTTTTCAAATGTGAAAAAATATCAACTACAATGTTGGGCTGTAAGCCTCCTGGTTTGTTTGCATCTACTTTCAATTTCTTCCTAATATATGTGTGTATAAACACATATGTACAAACATATATATATATGCAAGTACATTCAATAACATATAACTTTATATCACATTTTCAATAATATAATTCTTTATAAATAATATTGAGTTTATTTCTTCCACAATACCTATAATTTTTCCCCACTTAATTCACAATTTTTGCCTTCTCTTCTTTATTCTGTGCCCCAGGAAGATAATCTTTATAGATTGTATCACTGGGAGCCATTACCCTCCAGCTTCTGGTTGAATTAGCAAGGGATGCATCAGCAGAAAAGACTTGAGGACAGGAACAAAAATATATTGTGATGTTTCTTCACTTTGGACCTTAGTGGTAGATTTGTTGTGTTTTCTCTTCCATGGTTCCATCTACACTTGCATCCAGAGGCAGAATTTTTCTATTATCCCTATTGTCTTTCCAGGGCTAGGGAAGAAGTGACTTCTGGCTAAAGCTAGTTCTCAGTTTACTCAATAGTTTGTTCTCTTAAGCCTTTCCACAAATCTGTAAATAATATTTTCATTGAATTATCTCTATAATTCCAAATGAATATATCTCTGTAATTCTGTTAAGACTCTGACTGATATAACACATTTGGGAGAAAGTTTAATGGTATTACATATAATGAAGCTGATGTTACCAAGGTTAAACTGTTTAGATTTCCTAATGTGTTAGATGCAGAAGTCAGTTTCAGTAATTTTGCAAATATAAAATATATGCTTATAATGTTCCAGTCTCTGATGATACGTGTTTGAATAAAACATGGTCACTAACTCATGAGAGAACAGACTGTTGAGAAAATTGTTTCCTTCCAGACTGTTACATACTTAAGGATATTCAGTAATAAGAGAAATTTTATATCATCACTGTAGTGTGAGCAAGGGAATAATATCCAAGTATGATAATAAGACAAGTGGCCTTAGAAAGCATCACTACAAACAAAGCTAGTGGAGGTGATGGAATTCCTGTTGAGCTATTTCAAATCCTGAAATATGATGCTGTGAAAGTGCTGTACTCAATATGCCAGCAAATTTGGAAAACTCAGCAGTGGCCACAGGACTGGAAAGGTATGTTTTCATTCCAATCCCTAAGAAAGGCAATGCCAAAGAATGCTCAAACTACCACACAATTGCACTCATCTCACACGCTAGTAAAGTAATGCTCAAAATTCTCCAAGTCAGGCTTCAGCAACACATGAACCGTGAACTTCCAGATGTTCAAGCTGGTTTTAGAAAAGGCAGAGGAACCAGAGATCAAATTGCCAACATCCGCTGGATCATCAAAAAAGGAACAGGGTTTCCAGAAAAACATCTATTTTTGCTTTATTGACTACGCCAAAGCCTTCGACTGTGTGGATCACAATAAACTGTGGAAAATTCTGAAGGAGATGGGAATACCAGACCACCTAACCTGCCTCTTGAGAAACCTGTATGCAGGTCAGGAAGCAACAGTTAGATATGGACATGGACCAACAGACTGGTTCCAAATAGGAAAAGGAGTATGTCAAGGCTGTATATTGTCACCTTAACTTATATACAGAGCACATCATGAGAAACGCTGGTCTGGAAGAAGCACAAGATGGAATCAAGACTGCTAGGAGAAATATAAATAACCTCAGATACGCAGATGACATCACCCTTATGGCAGAAAGTGAAGAGGAACTAAAAAGCCTCTTGATGAAAATGAAAGAGGAGAGTGAAAAAGTTGGCTTAAAGCTTAACATTCAGAAAACTAAGATCATGGCATCTGGTCCCATCACCTCATGGGAAATAGATGGGGAGACAGTGGAAACAGTGTCAGACTTTATTTTTTTGGGCTCCAAAATCACTGCAGATGGTGACTGCAGCCATCAAATTAAAAGACGCTTACTGCTTGGAAGGAAAGTTATGACCAACCTAGGTAGCATATTAAAGAGCAGAGACATTACTTTGCCAACAGAGGTCCATCTGGTCAAGGCTATGGTTTTTCCAGTGGTCATGTATGGATGTGAGTGTTGGACTGTGAAGAAAGCTGAGCGCCAAAAAATTGATGCTTTTCAACTGTGGTATTGAGAAGACTCTTGAGAGTCCCTTGGACTACAAGGAGATCCAACCAGTCCATCCTAAAGGAGATCAGTCCTGGGTGTTCACTGGAAAGACTGATGCTGAAGCTGAAACTCCAATACTTTGACCACCTCATGCAAAGAGTTGACTCATTGGAAAAGACCCTGATGCTGGGAGGGATTGGGGGCAGGAGGAGAAAGGGCTGACAGAGGATGAGATGGCTGGATGGCATCACCGACTGGATGGACATGAGTTTGAGTAAACTCTTGGAGTTGGTAATGGACAGGGAAGCCTGGCGTGCTGCAGTTCATGGGGTTGCAAGGAGTCGGACATGACTGAGCAACTGAACTGAACTGAACTGATGATAGTAAGTCACAATAAATTTCCCGGGGGAGCTGAAATAATTTAAGTTTAAAATTCTGAGGACATACCTGGATTTGACTCATGCATCTGCATATGTGCACTCTTAGAGCAAACTGGGTTTTTAATTTTAATTTCAATATTTGTCTAGGAAGATAACATCATTGAAAAATGACATGTAGGTTGAAGTAATAAGAGAATCAAAGTAATCTTGATTGGCAAAGCTGTTCCCTCCATTGCAATTTACATGAGACCTTGAAAAGATTGCCAAATTCGAGTCACATGAGAATAGATGGACTATTACAAGACATTAAACTGACATTGTCAAAGAATATTTAATGACATAGTAAGATAATCATGATATAAAACTAATCTTTTTAAATATCCAAAACAGCATTTCAATGTATAGTTCTTATATACAAATGACAAAACAAGTAAACAAATAGCAAAGGATGCTTACTTCCATCCCTTATCCCTACCAAACCCAAGAGACACCACATGAGAGGAAAGTATGTGACTCTTCAAGCCAAATAAAAACTGTAAAGAAATAATGGGAAGTGAAAGGATTGTTGCTAAAGAAGGGGAACATTTCAATTTAGAATGAGGAAGAGTTGGATGCCATATTGGGGTGGGGGGAATGTAGTTTACAGGAAAGCTTTTGCCTCCCTACTAATTACTTAAGAAGGACAAACAGCAGCACCAGTCCAGGGACATAAGTTCTGCCAAAGTTTCAATACAGCAACAACAGGAGGGGATAGAAGCAGATTAAACCAATGCAGGCAGATCTCCCACCAGAGTTGCTTGTTAAATCCTCTGTCCACCATGGTCTGAAGGCTGGACAGCTACAATTTTAGGAGAATGTCAGTACCAGACATTCATTTCCAGAGTGAAATACACACAGGTTAGCATGTCTGGTAAGGAAATATCAAATACAGGTAAAGAAAAAGGAAAGATGTTAACTTTTAGCCCTATTGTGGTACTTTTCTACTCTTGTGCTATCTCCAGCCTTCTACTTGATTCAACAGAAACACTGCTACAAAAAGCCAAAGGGATGGAAAAACTCAACCCTGATTTTTGGATTTCTGTCTTCCCATGTTATGAACTGATAATTAAAGCTTTTGGGGAAAAAAGTGAGTTAATGTACAAAAATAAACATATATTGTTCAATGTCAAGGACTGTAATACATGAGTCATCAAATCCTCAGTGATAACTTCTACTTTTGCCCTGCTATTAAAAAAAGGTGAAATGAAAGTCTCAAAAAATAAATAATATGTCAGCATTTATTTTAAATTTCTTAAGTTATTCTATAGAATAACTGCTATCACTCCATCATCTTCCTAATTATCTTTTGTCTAAATAAATAAACTTTCAACTTAGAGTTTAAAAATATTCATCACAATGCCCACACATTAAAAAAATACAAGTGCTAAAACTATGTGCATTCTATTCGCTTATATTAATGTTAGAGGATTAAGGAAAGATGAACAATATGAGAATATTTACTAGCTAAGCTAACACAAGAAACGCTTCCATAATTTCTCAAACTGTATCAACATGATTACTTTTAATCCTATATTTTTGAGTAGTAAATCAAGTTTTGGGGTCAGAGAATTATTTCTATATGTTTAATCCTTCATTAATAAGTTTTCCAGCAGTACCTGCCCTCTACCCTACAAAGTGTTTATTTTGCATTTCTTTTTTCCTGGGAGTCTCCTTCGCAGTAGTATCTCAGAACTGACAGTTTTGCCTGTGGTGATAAGAGCTTGGGGCCTCAGTAGCATGCTGAGTACTCCAGGGTTTCCAAAAAAACAAACCAAGGCCCCACACCTCTAAAATCATAACAGCAAGACTCTGACAAACAGCATGTAGTGCGGTGAGGTAAAAAAGAATAAAGCAGGTAAATTAATCATAGTCTATCCTTACCTTTGTAAAAGATTCAGGTTCAGCTACTTTGCATAACAGTTGGCTCTTCCATTAATTGCTGGTTTGTCATTAAATTCTGGGTGGCAACCTGTAAGGAGAAATTCTGTTTATTAATGAGTTCTAAAATATGTATAAGACTTTTCTATAACACTTTCTAGAGCTGGTTTCTAAATGCCTTGCAATCTGTCCAACTGATATGTTTAGGAACAGTTAAATTAGGATGGGGAAAAGGCATAAGGGATTAAATGGGCCAGTCAATATCTGCCCCAGCAGCTTGTGGTTCCAATAATCATGAAGAATTTTTAAAAAAGAATTAGGGCTTTATATATACATATATATGATTTTTTCTGTAGAACCAAGAGATGAATTTTTTTTCTTTCTCCACAATGATTAAGGAAAATCTGTCTTTTTCAAGCCTCTCCATCTGTGTTTACAGATAGGATGTCATAATAGGATTAACCAGGATGTCATGGCCTCTTTCCTATAACCTCAGATATAAGATGTGAAGTCTCTCAAAATAAACCTTCTAAATATTTCCAAGGCATCTTACATGTGCTCATGAACAGGGCGTCTCCTGTCAGTCACTGCTGCTCAGAAAGGCATGAGCTAAGGACAGACTTACCCAATAAGCATCTCATATTCTGAGTTTCTAAGATGCCAAAGTTATTTCTTTAATTAATTAATAAATTAGTTAATTAATCAAGTATTTAAATTAAGATCTTTCTTTCCATTTGGATAATAAAAAAGCTGATATTTCTACATATTATTTATGAAATACTGCTTTATACTTTCTGTTCTTTCTTTTTTTCTTTCATGTCCCTAATCTGCAGAATATCAGGAATTTCTATATCAAAAATATATAAAGTGAATTCTTTATTTAAAATTTAAGAAGCATTAGGAATGGCCATTAATCCATAATTAATTATAGTCAAAAAGTTTAAACAGGTATAAATATTTTTAAAATACTATATGCATACATCCTCATTTGAAACATTTTGACCATCTTGATTTCACAGTTGTTATCTATTTATTCATAGATCAATTGCCTAGTCCTAGTTTAAATCTATGTCTCCTCATGGTTCTTCACTTATCTCAACTTCCTCCTTCCACAAATACATGTCACAAGGGCCTCATATGAAGCATGAGATCCAGCGGAGTAGAAGAAGCCACAGTCTGGAGAATATCACTCTCCTGAACTCAGCAGCTTCTCTCCCTCTCATCAGTCTTTCCACCAGGTCATATACAGTGTACGTGAATCTCACTACACTTCTCAGCCCTGGTGTAAATCATATTCTATGGCCTGCTCCTTTGGTTTGCCAGACATATTCAAGTCTGCCTGATTTGGCTTACATTTGAACTGTAGATCTATTGATACTAGATGAATACATTTTATTATTAATTTCAAAGGTCAGTTAAGTTGGTATTCTACTCTAAAAAATGGTGACTAAAAAGTCTATGTGGGACTGGCAGCTTTGTGTTGATTATATGATTTTCCATCCCAACTGAATGTTATTAAAATGTGCAACTCAAAAATAATCATGAAAGTAGTTATTGGCTCACTCATGTTGGACTCATTACCTTTTCAGATACTAGGAAACTATGTATAAAATAGTCTAATCAATAACCAGAACCATCAGTTCTCACTAGATGGGGTTTTCAAACACTGAATAAGTATAATCGTGTATCATTCAATCATACTCCTTTGCATTCACTGGGAACATTATTATACAATTAAAATCAATCTAAAATAAAAAAAAATTCAGGGTCATAATTAGAGAGGAAAACAGTCACAAAAAAAGCAAAGTAAGAGGTTTGGGTGTGTGGGGGAAGTTTCTTGTTTTAGGATATGTGGCTTTGCATAATAACTGCTTTGGTACATTTTAACACCATCTATTGAAGCTATGCTTCTGTATTGTGCTGTTTCTCTTATTGTATTGTTTTCCCACACCAGGTTAGATGAAGACGTAAATAAAAGATCACTATCTCAAGCCCTATATACAGCATAGTGACACTGAACACAATAGCTTTCCTAACTCTTCTATATTTTTAGTGAAATGATTGAAACAATATGCAGCTTGACACTCAATTCCTTAAAGCTTCCGTGATTTACTAATTTTCTTACAGTTACTAGCAAAATTGACCTTATTTTGAAAGAATAAGTCATCTGCCAAAGCAATATCATGGATGAGTCTTATTTAATATCTAACTCAGAGAACAAAAGTTACAGCCTTAGGACAATGGTCATAGCAAATTGCACAGAAAAAAGTTAGATGAAAGTCAGGACTGAGATTCATTTCTTCATTTGCTTGAAGAGCTTTGTGTCAGAATCTGTTTTTTTTTTTTTTTTAATAATGGTTAAGATAGATAATAAGACTTCCCTGGTGTCTCAGACAGTAAAAGCGTCTGCCTACAATGCGGGAGACCCAGGTTCAATCCCTAGGTCGGGAAGATCTCCTGCAGAAGAAAATGGCAACCCACTCCAGTATTCTTGTCTGGAAAATCCCATGGATGGAGGAACCTGGTAGGTTACAATCCATGGGGTCAAAAAGAGTCGGACACGACTAAGTGACTTCACTAAGACAGATAATAACCCAGGTATATTAGTTTCTGCACTGTGGCTTACTACTTTGTAAATGCAGAACTACTTTAAAGGCAAACACTACCATCACTCACTGAGAAAGAGTAACTGAATGATCAAGCAGATTATGCAGGTTCAGGAATTTCAATGCAAAAAGATGTGTAAAGGGGATCATTTAATTAACATGTTAAAAACATCAGCAATAGAATTTTACCCTTTAATTAAGATGCAGTACTCAAAAGTGTTTAAACAATTATAATAATAAATATTTTGAAACAAATACCTTTAAATACTGAAAGATAAGGATACTTAATTTTTTTGATGGTACTTTCTCGCTACTGTACTTGAAATAGAATTTTTAAATTTGTGTATACAAAACATAAAACATGTATAATAACCTTGTACATAACCTCTGAATTAGGTCCATACATTTTTGTACAGAATTTGTAGTGCAATATTATATTTTTCTATACACCATTTCCAGTGTGTTCATTTCTACACTGGTTAGATTGCACTAAATTTAGTTATCTTCATAATGAAATACCAATTCATATGCAGCACTACGATAGGCAGAAATCTAAGCTTGCCCTCAAGATCCTTACCACTTTGGACAGACACTCTGCAAAATCCCTAGGAACGTGAATAAGATGAATTTCACACAATGATTAATTATGATACATGGCATAAATGACATTATGTGGAGAAAAAATATTGTCTGGGGTGAGCCTTTCTTAATCATTCAAGCCCTTAAAAAGACTGAGATTTTTCTGAAGGCAAGATTCAAAATGTGAGTAGATCATTCCTCACTGAGTCATTCGACACAAAAAGCACGTGACCTCTAGGAGCTGACAATGTCAACTTTTGCTAGAAATGTCAGTCTGCAGAGTTTTGGTGGCAGATAATAAAATCATTATTATTTCAGGATAATCAGATTACATAGTGACAGCATGTCCTAATATTGCCTTAACCCCCAAAGTGACAACATTTGGAAATGGGATCTTTGGATGGTAATTAAATTTAAAAGAGAGCATGAGGGTGGGGCCCTCCTGATAGAATTCTAGGAGGAAATACTCGAGATCTTGCTTTCCTCTCTTCAGTTCAGTTCAGTTCAGTCGCTCAGTCGTGTCCGACTCTTTGCGACCTCATGAATCGCAGCACGGCAGGCTTCCCTGTCCATCACAAACTCCCGGAGTTTACTCAAACTCATGTCCATCGAGTCGGTGAAGCCATCCAGCCATCTCATCCTCTGTCAGCTCCTTCTCCTCCTGCCCCCAATCCCTCCCAGCATCAGGGTCTTTTCCAATGAGTCAACTCTTCCCATGAGGTGGCCAAAGTATTGCAGTTTCAGCTTCAGCATCAGTCCTTCCAATCAACACCCAGGACTGATCTCCTTTAGGATGGACTGGTTGGATCTCCTTGTAGTCCAAGGGACTCTCAAGAGTCTTCTCCAACACCACAGTTCAAAAGCATCAATTTTTGATCACAATGCCCAATCGCTAAGTTATGTCTGTGAGCCCACGGACAGCAGCACACCAGGTTTCCCTGTCCTTCACTATCTCCTGGAGTTTGCTCCAATTCATGTCCATTGAGTCGATGATGTCATTGTGATCAAAAATATATTGTATTTATTCTTTTCATAATTTTTAAGAATTAAAACGTTCCATCAGTTCACACACACACACAAAAAAGCATCAATTCTTGGCGCTCAGCTTTCTTCACAGTCCAACTCTCACATCCATACATGACCACTTGAAAAACCATAGCCTTGACCAGATGGACCTTTGTTGGCAAAGTAATGTCTCTGCTTTTTAATATGCTACCTAGGTTGGTCATAACTTTCCTCCCAAGGAGTAAGCATCTTTTAATTTCATGGCTGCAGTCACCATCTCCAGTGATTTTGGAGCCCCAAAAAATAAAGTTTAATACTGTTTCCACTGTCTCCCCATCTATTTCCCATGAAGTGATGGGACCGGATGCCATGATCTTAGTTTTCTGAATGTTGAGCTTTAAGCCAACTTTTTCACTCTCCTCTTTCACTTTCATCAAGAGGCTTTTTAGTTCCTCTTCACTTTCTGCCACAAGGGTGGTGTCATCTGCATATCTTAGGTTATTGATATTTCTCCTGGCAATCTTGATTCCAGCTTGTCCTTCTTCCAGACCAGCGTTTCTCATGATGTACTCTGCATAGAAGTTAAATAAGCAGGGTGACAATATACAGCCGTGACATACTCCTTTTCCTATTTGGAACCAGTCTGCTGGTCCATGTCCAGTTCTAACTGTTGCTTCCTGACCTGCATACAGGTTTCTCAAGAGGCAGGTCAGGTGGTCTGGTCTTCCCATCTCTTTCTGAATTTTCCACAGTTTATTGTGATCCACACAGTCGAAGGCTTTGGCATAGTCAATAAAGCAGAAATAGATGTTTTTCTGGAATTCTCTTGCTTTTTGATGATCCAGCAGATATTGGCAATTTGATCTCTGGTTCGTCTGCCTTTTCTAAAACCAACTTGAAC